CTGCTGCTGCTGCTGCTGCTGCTGCTGCCGCTGCTGCTGCTGCTGCTGCTGCTGCCGCTGCTGCTGCTGCCGCTGCTGCTGCTGCTGCTGCTGCTTACTTTTTGACGTCTGTTGGTTTTGGGGTGTCTACGGCCATGTCATTCCTTCGCAGCACAAAACACAAACCCTAAACCCTAAACCCTAAACCCTAAACCCTAAACCCCAAACCCTAAACCCTAAACCCTAATTTTTCGTTGAGGCCAGAGAGAAGAAGGCGTACTCTTGGTTTGTTGCTGCACACAAACAAACACCAGCACATTCATTTATTTCTGTCTAGGGTTTAGGGTTTAGGGTTTAGGGTTTAGGGTTTTAAGCTGTCTCCTGCTATTTCTCTGTTTTCTTTTTTTTATTTTTCTCTCTTTGTTTTTTTTTATTTTTTTTATTTTTTTTTTGTTTCTTTCTCTCTGTTTTTCTCTTTGTTCTTATTCTACCCCTAAACCCTAAACCCTAAACCCTAAACCCTAAAAGTTGATATATTATCTAAAAAATCCAACCAACAAAAACCCTAAACCCTAAACCCTAAACCCTAAACCCTAAACCCTAAACCCTAAACCCTAGACCGTGGCGTTTGTATCTTACATTTATATTTTTGTTTATCTTGTTTATTAATATTAGGGTCTATAGAAACTTTATTTTTTTTTTTTTCATTTGTTTTTTTTGTTGCTGCTGCTTGTCTTCTTGTTGTTGTGCTTAATACAACCGTTACTGTCTGCTGCTGCTGCCTATTTGCTGCTGCAGCACTGAGGGGGGGGGGGTAATCAAAAGCAGCAGAGTTGCTGCTGCATATAACCTTCCATTCACAAGGAATACGCAGACAAGCCCGCTGCTGCTGCTGCTGCTGCTGCTGCAGTTGCTGCAGTTGCTGCTGGGTTTGCTGCTGCTGCTGCTGCTGGTCCTGCTGCGGTGCTTCGTTGTTGTGTTCGGATACTGCATTTTCTCGTGCAGCAGCAGCAGCAGGAGGTGTACAGTCATCTATAGCAACAACACCTATCATAAGCTGCGGCTTAAAGGATAAAGAAATACAGTATATAAGAGGAAACCAACACCAATACTGAGCAAACAAAAACACGCCAACTGCTGCTGCAGGAGACAGAACCCCCGAGGAGTTG